ATATATATGATTTCTCAAGTTAGAGGTAGGGAAAAATAAAATTGGGTCTACTATATTAGAATAAGTGTTTCCTTTTTAAAACAAAGCTGAAGTTGAAATCTCTTTAATTTATAGTTCAAAGTATTCAAATTTTGTATCCCTGTGGCATATTTACTTTGCACTAGATTTTTCTTCTAATTCTGATGTGTGCTTGTAACTAATTTAAATTAATTCTATTTAATATTTCTTTGCTCCTACCTTTTTTGACTAGTAGTTGTATTTTTAAAAGGTGAATAACTTGGTAACAGCATTTTTTTCAAGGTGAGAGAATTGTTGAAAATGACCTTTAATATATCATGAAAAAATTTTCACTTGTTGAAGATGTTTTCATTTTCCCCAAGGGTAATAATTCTTATTTTAGAATAATCCTTCTGAGTTACTGAATTTGTAAGAAACTACGATAGTCTCATCTGGCTGGTGTTTAATACCTGTTTGGAAAAGAGTCAAGTCCTAGAAATAGTGGGAAAGGGAGTAAAATACTCTGAGCGACATAAGGAAAAATATTCTAACAGGTCAGTTAAAGTTGAAAAAGTATGTAAATAGAGAAAATCTTAGGCAGAAGAGAAATTTTCCTGGCAACTCTTGGCAGCTTCAGCACTGATCTCTAGTAAAATTATGGAATAATACTGTAAAAGATGGAAATATATGTAGAAGGTAACAGTACAGAACAGTAAAAGTTTATAAAATTTTAGGCAAATAATGGTGCCTTATTTGCTGAGTACTGGTATTGGGTTTGGCACTGAGACAGCCCAAAACAGATGCAGAGATCTTAAAGTCTTTAGCAGAATTATCTAAAATACTGTGACAGGAAAGATGATTAAATTTAAGTTTCTTTTGGCATAAAACTAGTGGAAGAAGGGAGTAGGGTTAGCTCTACTTTTTCTTGCGTTACTAACTTGATGCAACATATCACAAAATTTTGTGTGTAAAATTAATTCAAATTGACTTGGCTTTATTTCTTGCAATGTGCCTTAAAATTGTAAATTAATGCCTTGATGTCTTGAAATTCTATTTTCAAGTTAAAGCAGTGTTGATTCAGTTACATTGAATTATAAGTAAACTTTATAAATAATCATTCTTCTATAAGCAATGATAAGGTTTTTTTTTTTTGTTTTTTTTTTTTTGTTTTGTTTTTTGTTTTGTTTTTTGTTTTGGCTTTTTCCTTTTTATAGGCACACAGGCAACCTATACCCGGCCAACAGTGAGCCCATCCATAGGTCGGATGGCTGCAACCCCTGGAGCTGCAACCTATGTGAAAACTACCAGTGGTAGCATCATTACAGTAGTACCAAAATCATTAGCTACCTTGGGGGGCAAGATAATTAGCAGTAATATAGTTTCTGGTAGGTATGTTTTAAATATGTGACCTTCACTGTGTAGGTGACCTTCAGTAAGAGGAAAAATACAGATTTCACTATTGAAGAATTTTGTTTGATCTGTTTTTTGCTTAGAAATCTAACGCTTTGTTTTCAGTCCTTATGTTTAGTAATTAAATATAGTCTTTAGTTTTATTATTAAATATTTACATATAAAATTTTTGAGTTTTAAAATTAGAAGAACACTTAGTTTATAATCATAATGCAAAGATAATGGTTTATATTTGCATAGAGATTTTTAAAAATTATTTTTATTTTGTTTTTAATTAATTAAGTTTATTGGTACATTTTAGGTATATATAATGATGGTATTCATCATAGGGAATTTGTACCTGTACATGATAATATCTTGATTCATTTTTCTTGTTTCCCTCACCTCCCTTCAACTCTCCCTCCCTTCCTTATTTACAAAACTTTCCATTTTTCCTTTTTTCATTTTGCATACATTTTTTTTAATTTACAAAATTTTCTTTCATTTGTCAACCCATTGAGACCTCTTAACAACTCTTAAAGTAGTTCTTGTGTTCACTTCACAAATGAAGAGAAATTTGGGTTTAGAAGTGTTGGATTGACCTATCCAAAGCCACACAGCTAGAATAATGGAAAAACTATTATTTGTACATCTAAATATGTTGAAGGGACATATTTCATAATTTCAATTACTAATGTCACTTTAGCTTATTAAAAATAAAAATATTTGAATATCTTTATTTTACTTTCACCATTTATGTTTGCTTTTTGAAAATGACTTACTCAGATAATGATGATTAACCATGTGCCTATTTTATTGGTATATTGGAACCTTACCTAATTTTTATTGGCTCATTAATCCCTAAAATATTTGGGTTGTAGACCCTGAAGTGGAATGTTAAGACAGCGTCTGTTTTCTTTGATTATAATTTTTAAATTAAAATGATGTAAATAGTCTCAGATTAAACAAGTCTTGTGATTTTAATTTTCTAGACTAATCATTTTATAGACTAATCATATTTTGTATGCCCTTGGTGAGTTAGTCTAACTTTATAAAGTCAAGGGATTGAAGTTCCTGGCAGTAACTTGATGTTGCTGATAACTTGGAATGAAAAAACCAAAGCAGGGCATGGTATTGGCATAAAGCACCATATTTAAAGCTGTTAACTTTGGCTCTGCTTTCAAGTGTAAGTGAGAAAGTCCAGTGTTTGCCAAACTGAGGAGCGTGAAACCAGTAGGGAAAGAATCATTGTGCTCCAACTTTCAAGAGAATATTTTATATAACACAGTTAAATGCAAGTTATAATTCACTAGAAAATATCTTTAAATAATATAATACACTTAAACATTTTTAAAAAGTGATCATGTTTTGCATTTGTTAGTAGCTTTTTACAACTTTAAGGTGTTTTCTTTATTTATATATGAATTTGTAGTACTATATAACTTGAATGAATGTCTAGATGTCATGGGCCTTCTACTTTTAGACCTTAGTCAAGATGTATCTACTTTGTTCTTGGTTAGACCAATATAATGAAGCATATTTTCCTAGAAGGAAAGATTTGATTTGAGATATACATATCTTATATATACATATTGTCTGGCTGTGTGTTAAATATAAAACCACTTGTGGTTAATTGCTATTTCAACTAACCATAGGTATACATGGGAAGAATTTTTAGACTTTTCCAGCACTGTAGGATATACTTAATACAGCTGAAACAACTTTGTTACATGGAGATTATTATTACTTTGTTTCCTTCACTGTTTTGATGCTTTAATTCCAAGTTTTCCTCCCGTTTCTGGCTGCTATAAACTAATTCTAATGTTATACATCACTATGCTTTGTAAAGATAATTGTCTTATTTTATAATATTTTTATTGTTCCATGGTAATTTATTAGTAGTTTTTAATCCCTTTTGTGTATTTATAGTAAACTAGTAGCCTGAGTGAATAAATTTAGACAGTTTGCTGCCTTCATTCATGAGCAGATGGTGAGTTTTAGAGTTTCATTTCTTCCAAATAAAGAAGAAATTTTCCTAAAATAGACATCTGCCTATAAAAATGAAGACCTAAACAGTAACAACAGGCTGGGCATGGTGCACATGCCTGTAATCTCAGCACTTGGGAGGCTGAGGCAGTAGGCTGTGAGTTCAAGACCAGCCTAGGCTATATAGTGAGGTAAAGGCCAGCCTGAACTACATACCAGAACCCTTTTTCAAAAAAAACTAAATACTAAGCACAAACAACAAACTTGCCCTTTTGTTTTGAGAGAGTTAAGAATATTTAAATTATAACTTTTACCATCTACAGAATGTGTTAAAATTTAAGTGTATATTATTCCTTGTGTAAATATTTGTGTAAAAATGTATATTTTTAAAAATTAAATTACGGTGTAAATTTTATCTTTGTTTCACATAATATCTTACTGTGCTAGTGAATGTATTTTGACATGCCCTGTCCCCAAATGGCTACCATAGTATTCTCTCATATCATCTATCATAAATTTAACCATTTTCTCATTGTTGCATGTTGTAAGTTAATTTTTTTTTGTTGTGGCTATTATTATACACAGTGTAACAAAAATATGATGAATGTTTAAATAAAAAAAAATTACTGCAGTAAAATACACATTGCCATTAATCTCCCTCAAAGAATTCTCCCACACTTTGAACACATCCCATCATTCTTGCTACTTTTTGAAGCAGTTCTGGATGTCCATGTGCTTGAGTGCCTTTAGTTGTGCTGTCATCATTGCCCGAGTACATTCAAAACATTTACACTTTGTGGTCATTTTGGCCTTGGGGAAGAGCCAGAAGTACTGTAGTACCAGGTCTGGTAAGATGGATGAGTATATACCACATGTTTTTATAAACCTGTCTTCCCATCGGATAGTGCTTGGCAGCCTCATTCACTGTATTTTTTATTATACCTCTTAATGACACTTGTACTTATTTTTTAAATTCTTCCTTTGTAAAATATTCTAGAAAGGAAGTTCATATGTCCACAGTACATTCTAGAAAGTTGTGTTTTTCTTTTTAAATAAGCAATTAAATAGAAGTCATGACTATCTTTACAGTTATTTAGCCCATATATTGTGGAGTCAAATATTTCTTTATATGAATATATATGAGATAACTGTTAATAAGATTTTTTTGGCTCGCCTTGTTGAGTAATGGTTGAAGAAATGTACTCATTTTATGCCAAAGCTTGGATCCTTTATTGATGAACTCATCTTGACCTTGGGCTTGATTTTGAGTTTTTTTTTTCTTAAGGCAGCCTAATGTAGTCCAGGCCAGCCTTGAACTCAGTATGTAGCTTGAACTTCTTATCCTCTTGCCTCATCCTCCTGGGTGTGGTGCCCAGCTCATGATTTGATTTTGATTCTCTGAATCTTTAGTGCAGTATTCAACCAAGGAGCTATTGTTTATATATGTTTTCATTCATTCATCGCCTCATTCTTAGGACAAAGAATCTTAAAATATTACTCAAGAGACCAAGATTATCAGTATGATTTAAGAATCTGTGAATAGTAAAATTTGAGCCAATAAATTTCTGTTCTTTTTTAAGATGGCCTACCATAATGTTCCAACTTTCATAAGCATGTTTAAAAAAAAAAAAATTCCTAAAATGCATCAGAATCATAGGCTGTTGTGATCCAAAAGTGATACATAGTTATTTGTACCCATTATGCTTTTGCTTTTTTAAAGCATAGATTGGGTTCTCTGATGTGCTGTGAGCCAAACACTATGGAACATGCTGTGATACATAGACATGTATATGAGTTTTATTTTGCTCCTAGAGAGAGCTAAACAAATGAACTTACACATATCCTGTTGTATCACGAGAACTATAAACCTACTACTGGATGAGACCCTCCTTTTTTTTAAATCAGTGAATTAAAAAGCTGGAGAACAGCTCAAAGAATTTGTACCAGGATTTTCTTTTCTTTTTTTTCTTGTGGTACCGGGGATCAAACACATGACCTTGCACTTGCCAGGCAGGTGCTTATGCCACTGAGCCACATCCCCAGCTCCCAACCCCTACTGCCCATTGCTCAAACTTGCCATCCTTCTGCCTCAGCCTCCCAGAGTAATTACAGGCATGCATCACCACTACTTTGTCGTTTTAAGTCATATAATACATAGCTTATATTTGTTGCTAAATTTTCTTAAAGTCTATTGGTATGTGAATCTTGATATTTACCTTAAATGTTATTTTTTGAAGAGGTTTTCTATCATGCTAGTTACATAAATATAATACTTGGGTTGAGGGAAATATATATCATGGAATAGAGATTTTGATTTATTTCATTTAACTAGTCAGGAAAGGAATATTGAGGGGGAAATGTACACAGTAGTGATGTTCTTATATTCTGAGTTTGGTGTGTAGGTGTGTAGATTATAAAAAGATGACTGCTTTAAGAGTTAATTCTTATTCTCTTATTCTGGATAATTTGTGTAATTTACTGTTCTCAGCCTTCATTTTCATCCCATGATAGCATTCATACCATTTAAGGATGACATTGACTAAAGAATATTGTGTACAACATAAATAGAAATAACCAAATATCGTTATTCCTTAATTCAGGCCTCCTTTTCTTCCCTTCTCTCTAAGGAACAACTACCAAAATCACTACAATCCCAATGAGTTCCAAGCCCAATGTGATTGTTGTGCAAAAGACTACAGGAAAAGGAACAACCATTCAAGGCCTCCCAGGCAAAAATGTTGTCACAACATTGCTAAATGCTGGAGTAAGTAAGAGTTATACTACAGACTCAGCTGTCCACCAAGGGCTTTAAAGACCAGCTATACAAATACTTGTTTAGGACATCAGAACCTTGCAATAACTAGAACTGCTTGATTTACCACTACTGTGATGTAATAACTTAAGACACAGCCAGTGCTCATAAAATAAGCACTTCAACATATAATACCATCTTTTTCACCACACAGAAACATCCACTTGTACTCAGTACTTGTTCACCTGTGCATACCCACAACACTTGTCAGAAGAGCTTTTGAGAAAGATAGCTTCCTAATTGATTTCATTGTGGTCATGAAACTTGTACAAGGCCCATCAAACCATTTAGGCAGGGCATACCCACTTGCAGTCTTGTGGCTGTTGGCAAATAAATTAGAGCTCTTTCTGAAGGGTATGAATATGGTTGAAATAAGTAATCACACAAGTGGCAACTGCTTTATTTCCCTTAGAGTAGATAAACTTTGGATTTTTGTAATTGAAATTTTGCTCTTATTCAGAGTGCTCTTTAGACATCATACCTCAATGTTTGTTTTTATTGGGTGCTAAGTTTTGAAAGTCACATATTTAGATGATTATATCTGAATATTAAGAAAAACTGATAAGGTGAAAATTGTGAGGTCCTTTTATGTACTTTTTAATTTTATGAGTTTTAATCTTTAAAAACATTTTCTGAGATGAGGTCTTGCAGTATTGCCGAGGCTGGTCTCAAACTTGTAGGTTAAGTGATCTTCCTGCCTCAAGTAGTAGAGATTATAGACGTGTCAAATCCCTGGCTTAATTTTTAATAATTTAGTAAAATCATTATATATGAACTTCATTTAGTTAAATTCAAGGAAAAAGATGTTGACATTATGAAAGACTAGAAAATCGTACTTAAGAATAAAGCATATGAAAGTACAAAAAATGGTGAAAAGTTAATAGGCTTAAACTATCTACGTAGGACCAAAGTGATATTAATAATGTATTAATAAGAGATGAGAAATATCTTGTTCTTTTTTTAATACAACCTTAGAAAGAATGTTCATATCTTTTGCATATACTTTTTCACATACGCATTCTGCTATATACTTGTACAATTTCATATATAAATTTAAGGAGTTTATTTTGTATGTGAATGTTCAGCTATGGGTATATTCAGTAATTTTTTATTACATAAGTATTAATTTCAGATACATTCGAAAGTAAAAGTAAACATAGGGAGTGAAACTTATAATTCCAATGTTTAGAGATAATCATTGTTAACATATTCATCTAAATTTTTCTAGAACTTTCTGATCCTTTAAACATCTGCATTTACTAATGGGATAGTATTACAGATATTTTTTCTTTTTTTTCCTTTTTGTGGTGCTGGGATTGAGCCAGGGGCCTTGTGCATACTAGGCAATTGCTCTACCAGCATAAGTCCTTTTTTTTTGTCTTGAGGTAGAGTCTCAACTAAAGTGCCCAGATTGACCTCAAATTTATAATCTTCCTGCCTCTCTAGAGCAGGGATTACTGGTAGGTGCCAGTGTGCCCAGCTAATAAGTATTCTTGTGATAATTTTTAAAAAATCACTCATCAGTAAATAATTAGTTTCTTCTTTGGATAAAAAATTGGTCAAATGCATACTCAGCCACCTTATCTTTGACAAAGGTGCCAAACACATTCACTGGAAGAAAGATAGCCTATTTATAAATGATGCTGGAAAAACTTTCTGTGCACATGCTGAAGATTAAAACTGGACCCACATCTTTCACCATGCACTAAACTAAATTCACAGTGGATCAAAGATCTAAATATGAAAACGAAAACTTTCTAGAAGAAAAAATAGGTAAAACTCTTGAAGACATTGGTGTGGGTGAAGACTTTATGAATAAAACCCCGATCATGCAGGACCTATCACAAAGAATCAACAACTGGGATCTCTTCTTATTAAAAAACTTTGGCACAGCAAGAGAAACCACCAACAGAGTAAAGAGGCAATCAACAATGTGGGAAAAAATATTTGCCAGTTATTCCTCAGACAAAGGATTACTATTGAGAACATATAAAGAACTCAAAAAAAGCGATCTCCCAAATTTAAAGACTCACTCCAAAAATGGGCATCTGAGATGAATACACACTTCTCAGATGAAGAAGTATAAACAGCAAATAAATATATGAAGAAATGTTGCACATAACTGGTCATTCAAGAGATGCAAATTAAAACAACACCGAAATTCCATCTCACCCTGGAAAGAAAGGCTGTTACCAAATAACCAATAACAAAGGCTGGAGAGGCTGTGGGGAAAAAGGAATTCTTGTCCACTGTTGGTGGGAGTGTAGACTGGTGCAGTCAGTTTGGAGATTCTTTGGAAAATTAGGATTGGAGGTCCCATTCAACTCAGCCATTTCCTTTCTGGGTATCTTCTTAGAAGAGTTAAAAACATTGTAGGCCAGTGTTACATGTCCACCCATGCTTATAGCAGTACAATTTGTAATAGCTAAATCTTGGAAACAACCCACATGCCCATCAACTGAGGTATGGATAAAAAAAGATGTCTTTTTATACAATGGAGTACTACTCAGCCACAAAGAAGGATAAACTGGAGACTTATAGGTAAATGGTTGTGAGTGGAGACCATACTCATAAGTGAAATAAACCAAACATACATGTGTAAACATCATATTGTCAGGGCTGGGGATTTAGCTCAGCGGCAGAGCGCCTGCCTGGCAAGTGCAAGGTCATGAGTTCGGTTCCTGGTACCAGAGAAAAACAAAAAAACCCCAAAAAACAAAGAAACAAACAAAACCATCATATTGTCTCCTCAGTATGAGAAGCTGAAAGAGTAAATAAGATCCAAAATGTACAATAGATACTATAAAATGGGAAGAAACTTCAAAAGGAAAGAGAAACTGGGTTGAGGGAATGGAAAAAAGAAGGAAGGGAAAAGCAAAACAAAAACCCCATATAGATAGATAGATAGATAGATGGATGTAAGATATGATAGTTATACTAGTAATTTCTCTTCATTGAAAAGAAAGGTTTGTGTTCTTATTGTTTGGACAATGAAATGCCAATGTCTTGTACTCTGAGTAACTAAAGATAACAATACCCCATGTATTAACCATTGTTACCCTCCTATTGTCTTGTTCTGAAATTTTTTATTTTTTTCTCTTTAAAATAAAAATTAAAAAAGAAAATTGGTCAGATGACTTCTGAGGTCATTCCAACTAAGTCTAGTATTTTTGATTTCTTAGAAACACTGTACTTTGTTACATAACCTACAGTCCTTTATCATCCTGCTAAAACTTTTGTTTTTTCAGTAAAAGGATAGTTTTTATTATTTAAATGAATATAAATCTCATATAATTATTGGTTTCAATTTAGGGAGAGAAGACTATTCAGACAGTGCCAACAGGAGCAAAGCCAGCTATAATCACTGCTACAAGACCTATCACCAAAATGATTGTAACTCAGCCAAAAGGAATAGGTTCCACAGTTCAACCAGCAGCTAAAATCATCCCAACAAAAATTGTTTATGGGCAACAAGGGAAAACACAGGTAAGCTATAAGATACAATGATTTTTTTGTTGTTGTTTTTGGCTCACAGATTTTATGTTCTTAAATTTCCGGGTAGAAATTTGAAAGAAAAGATTAATATTCTTAAAACAGCCCAAATTTTTGAAGGTTTGGATTGAATGTAAGCACTGAGCTACATTGCCAGCCTTTAAAAATTTATTTTAAAACATGTATTAGTACATGTTTATAGTCCAGAGTGTTTACATTCCTTGTGGGGAGTTGGTACATTTTAATTCCTCCTTTCATCCCTTTTCCTTCCTCTCCTTCTGTCTCTTGATCCCCTTCCCCTTCCAGAAAGATCTGTCTCCTACTTCCTGTTATCTGTCTTTCATTTTCTGTTTATGTAAACTTTGGGTTTTTCATATAAGAGAAGCTATAAAATTTAAGCTTGTGTGTCTGGTTTATTCCACTTAGCATTATGGTCTTAAGACAGTCCTCCATTTTCCACAAATGACTGAAGTTTATCTTTCTTTATGGGAAAGTAGTACTTGTGTACTATTTCACCCATTCATTTGTTGATAAACATATAGATTGCTTCCAAGATTTTAACTATTATTAATTGTGCTGCTGTAAACCTGGGTATGCATGTATCACAATAGAAATCAACATTTTCACTCAGTTGCATGCTTATTTACAAAACCTAAAGAGATAACATCAGAAATAAAAACCTATGGTAGCTGCAATGTAAACACAAATAAGTCTACCACTGAAAGAACCTTTGCTTCAGCTGTCACATCTAAGGCAGTCTACACATGACGACTACATGTTCCATGCATATGTATCACTTACATGGACAGCATGTGTGCTTAGCTTTTCTTTGCTATGTGGCAGACCATTCTTGTTACCTCTCTTCTTGTTTTGTCAGGAGCTGTACAATGTATACTTAGCAGGGAATAAGATATCAATAAAATAAAGTATCAGATGTAAAAATGAATGCTTAGAATAGAAATCAACATTTTCACATCAGCTGTTTACTTGCTTACAAAATATAAAAGAGAACATCAGAAATAAAAACTTATGTGAACTACAATGAAAATAACCAATTTTTACAACAAAAAACTTTTTTCAATTATCACACCCAAAACGGTCTTCTCACATGAAAAATGCATATTCCATGATAAGTATTGCTTACACTGATAGCATGTATGTTTTGTTTTCCTGTCTTTTCTTGTAGGGCACAGTTAACATCTTTTTTGGTTTTCTTGTTACAGTAGATCTTTGGGATGCTGCACCTGCCTGTTCCCCTGTCAGCTCAACAGTGTGGTCCACAATTTTTTTTGCATAGTTTTTCCACTGCTGTAAATGATCTCTTGAGTTCCAGTCTTAGTTCTCTAAAAAAATTTCTCCATGATATTTTGCACTTGTTACTGTTTTTATAAACTGTCAAGCTATTTATCCCATACATGTTTAGGATGAAGTAAAACACAACCATTGGCCAGTGCTTTGTTTTTCAAGTGACATCATAGTTGCTGTATAACTAACTCATCAACAACATCTACTGTGCCTTTGGTTTTGTTGTAGAAAGTTTCCATCTCAGCCTTCCATTTTGTTGAGGTTTCCCTATCATTATTTCCATCATGGTGCAATGTTGACATCAGCAGTATCAGTTTGTTTTTCTTTGTCATATACGAGGCCAGTGTAAATCTTCCTGAAATCCAAAGGTAGTACTGTACAGTTCTGTTTTGAAATTGCAACATTTCATTTAGAATTTCTGCTTTGCTCCTGCTTACAGTTCCTGGGCTGGTCAACTTGTGCTCGCTTAGCAAATGTAACATCAGTTGGAAACTGGTGAGCCAGTTGTCAAATATCACATTCTGATTAGTTGGGAGATGGGAAGCAGCAAATCTGTTCACAACATTATTCAGTTTATTACTATATGAATAAGGACCTGATGGCTGAGTTCCAAGATAAATGTCTAAATTGAAAGCATAATAACATGAATTTTTATGCCATATTTTGACCCAGTGCCCTTCCGTAAGTCTTTTCCATTCCTGTGATTACCATGAGCAGTCCCTGCTGAGTACAGCAGACCTATGAATGCTTTCAGTTCAGCTAGTGAGATGTCATAATAAATACATTTTTGAATATAGCTATTGGCGTATATACAGTGTTTTACTTGCATTTCTGCCTCTGTATTTCACAACATCTTGTAGCATTTTGTTTATTACCATTTCTAACATTGAATGGCAGTGCTGGCATTCTGTTCAATATGTTTCACCCCTGCTATGACCTTCACTGTAACATAATTTTATATAATATAATATAGTTCTAACATTGGATTGTTCCATTTGGTTGCAACATTATGACTATTCAAATGGGTACTCACCTTGCTGGATTTTTTTGTCATCTGAATTAAGGTGGTATGCATTTCCTGTGTCTATGTCAGTTGATTCTTGTTCCATTTTACTGTCACAGGAACTTTGACTCACATGGGCAGTGTCAAAGTCATCATCATCATCATCATCATGTATCCACACCACTCTTCTGTTATGAAAACATATATTTTACCATTATGGATCATTTTAATCATTCATACATGAGTAATCCGATGATTCACTTTTGACCTTTTCCCAAATTTGCAAATCTGGTTTTTCATGTGCAATTGTACTGAATTGGGCTGCTTCTACCGGAAAAATCAAAAGAAAACTTTTTAAAATAAATCCTAGAGTGGTGTGGGTCTATTGGACCCTCTTTAATGCTCAGATAAACATAGGCAGAAACTGTTCTATAGAGGATAATGTGGGTGTAAATCCAGGTTTGACACTTGCACACTACACCTTGCCTTTCGTTATACCAAGTGGGTAAACACAAAGATTGCTTCCTGTATCCCTCAGGAAAGGTACTGAGACACACAGCCAGCTAATATTACACTAAGGTAAAAATCTACAGTAGAAAAATATGTGTATGGGGCACCCTCTGTTATGCTTGGATGGTTTAAAAAGCTTGAGGTGTATTGGTGTTAGAACTTCTCTGAAGCAGTGAATCCATCTGGACTTGGGCTTTTGTTAGTGACTAGGTTTATTTTTTATGGTTGTTTTTTGTTTTTGGTTTTGTGAAGTTGAAGTTGGGCTTGAAACCAGTAAGTAGCTCAGGTTGGTCTCACACTCATGTTAATCCTCCTGCCCTTGCCTCTCAAGTGCTGGAATTACAGGCATTTACCACCATACCTAGCCAGCTGGTAGGTTTTTTTTATTTCTGCTTCAGTTTCATTGCCTGTGATTTTTATATGTTATATTATTTTTCTCTCTTTTTTTTTTTTTTTGGTTTGTTCTTCCGGTACCAAGAATCGAGCTCACAACCTTGCACTTGCCAGGCAGGCACTTTGCTGCTGAGATAAATCCCCAGCCCTGTTATATTATTTTTCTTTCCTTCATCAGGGTTTAAAATATGAGATTTTTTTCTCCCCTTGTTTCCTGCCTCTTTGAGTTTTGACTATAATGTATTGTGGAGAGATTCTTTCCTGATTGTGGCTGCTTGGAGATCTGTATATATTCTCACTTATCCGTATGTTTGATTTTTTTTCCTTTTTGTCTTTTTGAGACAGGGTTTCACTATGCAGTTCAGACTGGTCTTGAACTCACTTTGTAGCCCAGGCTGGCCTCAAACTCACAGTGATCCTCCCGCCTTAGTGTCACTGTATGTTAAATTCTTTCCCCTTATTTAGAAATTTTCTGCTCTTATTTGAGGTTTTTATACCATCTTTACTGTCTTCTGAGTTTTTACTAATTCAAATTATTCTTAGATTAGTCTTTGTGTCATAGAAATTGCTGGATCTATATTTCTTTTTTTATTTTAAAAAGAAGAGGAAAAGAAAAACATGCAGGCAAAAACTGAACAACAAAAAACAATAAAAAAATACAGAATTTCAAAACAAGGTGATAGGAAATTAACAGTAGTTGTTATAATACATATTATCATCTTCAGAGTAGTTGCTCAGATCACCAGACATGGGCATGCAAGATCAATCAGTGGATCTGTTTTTCAAGTTTTCTTGTTTTTAAGGTGTCTCTCATTAATTGGTTATTGACAAGAGCCTTGTTCTCTAGTTCTGACCCACTGTGCTCACATTTGTCACTTCTGCTACCCTTATGTTTGATAGAATTTTTAATCTCTTGAGTTTCTATTTGGAGCCCTTTTTTATGGACTCCAACTCTTCTCTGTGCTGGTTATTTGTGTTCTGCATTGTTTGGTGTAGCTCATCTTTTTATTAGTATCTCCTGTTGACTTGCTGATTATTTTGTTTATATGGACCAGTATCTTATTACAGTAAATCCCTATTTTATGAATGGGTTCCTTTCCAGGAGAACCTCTCATAAATCAGATTCATTTGTAAGCCCACAAAATAAATCTTATACAATATACCTGTGAAAGTTTGCAACTTGAATGTTTGTAAGTTGGGACTTACTATATTTCTGTGTTCTGTGAGCTAATGAAATGACTTACTCATCAGTTTTGTTACCTCCTCCAATATAATTTTGAATAATTCAGGTATGTGGCTTTGCTTTTCGTTTACTCTTCTTTGATGCCCCAGTGGATCAGCTTTGGGAATGTTGAGAGTTTTTGGAAGCATTTTGTTACCTTGTCTTCTCATGTTTCTATTATTTGTTTGTGTTGAGGTTTGCAAATAGATTGTAGAGGAAGCCTTTGTTTCCAGTATGGAAACCTCTCTAGGTAATGTCTGCTTTCCAGTGGTTTCCCAGGATCCAACCACCTCTGTTTACCTGAGATGGGAGGTTGTACCATATTTGTCCTAGTACCCAGTTTTCCAGGAATGGGCCATAGTACTGATAATGACCCTAAGGCAGTCCACGTGTTGGCAAATATATACTGAAAATTGCCAGCTCTCGGACCCATAAAGTATCACCCTTAACTATAGAAAAGAGATCTGTAATTATTGTGTGAACACTTAGACAAACCAAATATCGACCAAGTGTACATGTCTACTAAATGGAACAACTCTACCTCTACTTACAAGAAAACAGTTTTTAGCAGAAATTGGGTAAAGTTAACTACTTTTCTAGACCTTCATAAAACTAGTAAAGGTAGAGGGGGAGAGGAACTAGAGAATGCAAAGTGCAAAATTATAAAAATTAAGTAATGGGATATGAGAAAGAGGAGAAAAAAGTAAAATAGGGAAATCCTATTTAGGTGTAAAAGGAAATTAATAGTGATAGGAAATAGTCATAGAAAAGAACAAAGAAGAAAGATGAATTGCAATACCAGGAAATAAAAGATAAAGAAGAATGAAAATGTTGAAAGGGAAAAAGAGAAAAGGAACTAAAAAAGGTAGGAAACAAGGGGCGGGAAAAATCTCATACTCCCAAAAAACCTGATGAAGGAAAGAAAAATAATATAAAATAGAAAAATCACAAAAAGATTGACTCTAAGAAAAAATTCTAGTGTTATTGAATGAGTGATTTCATTCCAAGATCTGCTGTCTTAGGATTCAACCAATTGTGATTTTTCTCTGCTAGTTTTAATGCCTATGGAATTTTTGAGGTGCCCCTGTTGCCCCCCTGTTTGTTCCCCCATCCTGTAGTTTCCATCCATGCCAAGGCATATTTTTTCTGTCATTGGTGTATGGTGAACACACTCAACCCTTTTGTCTTTGCCAGATGTAGGCTAGAGGATGGCAGTTTGAGTGAGCTGTTGGACTTAATGTCTGCAGTCATGGGGTCCAGTTGCTCTCTTTTCTCCCTGAGCCTTGTACCTATCCAGGATCAGGTTAGTTGGTTAGGCCTTGCTTGTGCTGCCCTCTGCTGTGGGGAAGCAAAATGTGGAACTGGCTTAGAGTTGATAGTTAGCTATACCCTTGCATCAGGGGATACTGCATTTCCCATGAGGGTGCTTGCTCCATGGAAGTCAGCCACCACTCTTTTAGAGCAACTCTGTTTATTTATTTGTGTCGGGGAGCTTCTTTTCCTGGGGCAGGTCTGCTTTCTCCCAAGGGAGAAGGGGTGAAATTCTTCCTAGAACTTCAAACTGCCTGGAAAAATTTCCCTTCTCCTCCTTCTCTACTTCTATCTTCCCTCCAAAAATTTTTTTAAAATTTGAGACAGGGTCTTGCTAAATTGCTAAATTGCCCAGGCTAGGCATGGACTTTTGATCCTCTCACTAGAGCCTCCCAGATTGCTGGAATTACAGGCATGCACCATGGTGCTTGGCTGCTTTTGTCCTTTTGAACGGTACCTACCCCCTTTCCCTGAAAATAAGACCTAGCTAGAAAATAATCTGCTTTGAAATGAGAAATCAGAAATGCCTGCCCTAATTAGCTTGGCCTTGCCTTACCTGCCTTACAGAATAGCCACAGAGGAAGAGAATAGTGATCATTTTCTTGCTATGTCTTATTTTCAGGGAAATACAGTATGTATTTCTCTAGTGTTATAAGCAAAAGATTGGTAGAGGGAAAATCTTATAGGGAAAAGTCCATATTTACAGCAGGCATATATTGTTATTTGAGGTGTAGGTAGTTGTGGAGGCATGGTACCTATTCAGAATCTCTCAAAGAAAACTATTTCTTATAAGCTGACAAGACCTTCAGAAGCACTTGACTAATAAAATTTGTGTTATTGGAACTGGGTGTGGTGGCACATGCCTGTGATCCCAGTAATTCAGAAGGCTGACACAGGAGGATTGAAAGTTCATGGCCAGTTTAGTCAACTTAGTAAGATTTTGTCTCAAAATAGAATTTTTTATTTTTTTATTTTTTGGTTTTTCTCTGGTACTGGGAACCAAACTCACAACCTTGCGCTTCCCAGACAGGTGCTTTGCCGCTGAGCTAAATCCCCAGCCCCTCAAAATAGAATTTTTTAAAAAAGGGCACTAAATGTAGCTCAGTGGTAGAGCATTTGTATAGGATGTATGAAGCCTTGTATTCATTACTCAGTTTACCTGCCAGTCCATTTTGTGTTACTTGAACCTTACATAACAAAGATTCTAGTTATCTATTCAGTTTTCAACCAGTAGAAGTTAAGTAAACTTTTCTGAAAATTTGCCTAATACTTTGAAGCTCAGGATTGATCCTATGTTGCTAAGCTACTGCTTGTAGATACTTTAGCTCTTTAACTGCTTTTCTGAGAATATCAAAGGCAGTGGTATTAACTTTGGTTGAGAAGAGTACTATTCTAGGATTTTGAAAAATGTATTAATTTACCTATTCATTATAATGTACCTTTAGAATCTGTGCCCTCAGAATTGTAGCCAAATTGTTTACATATCTAAAAGAATTCTTTGATTAGTTTTGTTATGTCCATATTGGTAATTGAGTTCAACAGTAACAATATCATTTGTTCCATTATCTAAGATATAAGTCATGTATTCATTTTGAACTCTTGGAAATGAGTTTAAAAAGGTTTAGGATCTCATATGTGGTAGAAATAAAAATAACTGGTGAACTAAATTTTTATTCCATTGACCCAGCTGAAGTCAACTCCTAGAATCCAGATTTTGAAGTAGAATGATCTGGCTTGGACATTCTCTCCCATTTCACTTGTTTCAGGAACTGTGGCTTTGACTTTAGCCAGGAATTAATTCATCACATGCTTTGATGGGAGTTTAAACTAGTATTTCTGTGGTGTTTCTTCAAAGATTCTTCAGGTCTTAAGCAAGTTGTGCTATTGTTTCTGTTATGGACTTTATTTGATTCCTCACAAAAAGAAGCTTGAGCAACAGTGACTTAAGGAAATTAGGGTTTTCTTTTTTATTATGTTACTAAAAATGAGAAAGGGGAAGTACTGGACTGATGTTATGGGTCAGAAATTCCATTGGGGATTTATGCTTCTTGTGTCTTTCTGTCCTTTCACCTTTCATGTAAGAATTTTATTTTACTATAAGCATTGCTAGTTATAAAATAACTTGTAAAGGCAGGAAAAAAATGGGTGCTATAGACAAGAAAAAACAGGTACAAAAGCTCTCATTATGGCTGTCACAGTCTGACATGTAGCATTGTCCATGTCAGTAGTTGAATTAGTATTTGATGAATAATGCTGTGCCCAAAGCATAATGAATATACAAAATCCTGTTTTTCATATCAGGAAAATGTTTCACGTTTTAAATAGCACTTTTAATATTTCATCTGGATGTTTTTGCTTTTCTTCTAGGTTCTTATTAAACCCAAACCAGTGACATTTCAGGCCACAGTTGTTAGTGAACAGACAAGACAGCTGGTAACAGAAACATTACAGCAAGCATCCAGGGTAGCAGAGGCTGGTAATTCATCTGTTCAGGAAGGAAAAGAAGAACCACAGAGTTATACAGATAGTAGTTCCTCTTCCACAGAGTCCTCCCAGAGTTCCCAAGGTAAGTTTACTTCTGATTTATATAAGTATTTCCTAAGTTAGTATACTAATTCTGAGATAAAAGTTACTTTTAGGAACTTAGAGTCAAACTTGTGTACTTTGATTTGTCAGTTCTTTTTATTTTCTTTTGATGTTTAATCAATAAGCTGAAATTTTACTTTTGGTAAAGCTTACCATTCTTTCCTATATGGCACGTGTTCATCAAATAATTGGTAAACCTCAGATGATGTTGTGTCAAGTAGGTAATGTTAACTGGGTAGAAGTGTGATTCTCAGATGGTAGTCTTTCTGTTTGGTTTGGGTAGAGGAAGAAATATGGAGAAAAGTGAATATCCCTTCTGAAATGGCTGTTGCTGAACCTTGAGAAGTAATCAGGGTGGGCAGAGGTGAGCTGTAAGTTATAAGTAGGGTGACTATACATTCTACTTTGTATGGGCTAAGTCCTAGTTTATGTTTGTTGTTCTGACATAATTATTAATACCATTCCCTTTTACTCTCAAAAGCATTTCAGATGGTAATTATATGGCTATACTAATTATAAGGAAGGAACTCTAAACCTAGACTCCTTTGTCCTCAGTGCTGTTATAATTATGGTATTTTTCTGGGAAACCTCTTGAAATAAACTAATTTTTTGAAGAGTAGGAGAATTTATTGTGGAATAGGAATGAGGAGTAGGAATAGCTCCTGAGAGACAGGAGGGCTCCCGAATGGGTTACCCAAAGCTATTTGCTTTGTGCGGGCAAGGATCATATTCATCTCTGTATATTAGTGTTCAGCACAGAGATCAGGTAGCACTGAGTAGGTACTCAGTAAAAATTTCACAGAATTAACAAACAGTTGAAGAATAGTCATAGTAACTATGGTGTAGGGTTGGCATATTCATGGAGGGGCCATAATTCCTATGTCTCACTTCTGGGTGGCTTGAGCTACCAGCGGTACATTTATGACTGTTGTATGGGGTGCTTGTACCACTGGTGGTATAAATGGATCTAATCACTTTTATTGGTCTTTTTTACTAATAAAATTAAGAGAAAAACAGCTATTTGGATAGTTATGCGTGTTATTTCTGTCCTGAAATTTTCTACTAATCTTGGTGGGCCTTTTAAGTTGAATAGTTCTGGATTATTAAAGATTTCTTTGTCTATCTTCAGCCTTATTTCTAAAGGTTTTAAGGTACATTAAATACAAGATTTTATTAAGTAAAGTAGAAGAGAACAAGGACTCAAAATCAGGGATAGGGATTTAAAATGGAACAGCACATAAGACAAATACAAAAGTGCATTTTATAAACTGGACGTGGTGCTGCACGCCTGCAATCCCAGCTTTCAGGAGGCTGAGGCAGGAAGATTGCTGTGAGTTCAAGGTTAACCTGGGCTACCTAGTTCAAGGATAGCCCAGAAAAACCTGTCTTAAAAATTAATCAGTCAATAATAATGCATGATATAAAGATATTGCTGTAACTCACAATTCAGTTTCTAGGATAATTTTTCCTGAGGATTCATGATCTTGATAAGTCAGAGTGAAGGTGAGGAATAAATCCAGATTAAGCAAAACATATTTCTTGCAGAATTTTTTAGAGCTATTATGTGCTCATTTGTATCATGAAATATGAGTCAAATATGTAGTGTAAAATGTTCCCCAACTCTTTTGATCATGGAACCCTTTTTTTGGAGAACATCTGGAAAAACTTAGGTTCTCAGGAACATTTTGAGTGATGCTTTCTAGGCAATTAGATAATGTGAGGGCCTTGAGAAGGAAGGTGCATATTACACCTTGGAAGATAGACATCTTAGGTCTAATTTAAAAGAAGTGGTTTAAGTGTGTAAGGCATTCTAGAGTCATATTAGGAATGGTTGGGGAAACAAGTTATCACATTGAATTGTATTTTTTTTACATGTTCATCTCTCCCCCCAGACTGTGAACTTCTTTATATCTTCAGTGCTAAATATAGATTCTGACACCTATGTGGTTAGTTTGTGAACTTAATTAACAGAAACAGTAAATTCAGAAGTATGTCCCTGGGACTTGCAGTTTTCTTGGAGAGATAAAGCAGGAAGTTTACAGTAAATACAAAGAAAAAACAACAACAAAAACAAATTGTTTTATTTTAAAGAGAAACTTTGTTCATAAGTTTTTCTTTTAAATTAATGTAAACAGATTCCCAGCCTGTAGTTCATGTAATTGCTTCCCGGCGTCAGGATTGGTCAGAACATGAGATTGCAATGGAGACTAGCCCCACCATAATATATCAGGATGTATCCAGTGAATCACAATCAGCTACTTCAACAATCAAAGCTCTGTTAGAACTCCAACAGACAACAGGTATGAATTCACATGCTCAATTGAATGAAGCATGTTTTCTGCAGGGATAGGTTGTGCTAAAATACTACCACTGTTATATATGTCTCTGCTATTATTTGAGCACATTTCTCCCCTCTGGACTTGTCTGTAATCATTGGTACATTCTGTTTACTTGATAGTTCTTAAAGATATACATAGGAGTACTACAGCACAGATGAATGAAAGTTTTTAGAAAGGGCAAGTTGGCAGAGCTGTCTTTTTTGTCTCCTGATTAAAATGGACAGTCCTCTTACCCCAGAAAGGAGTAGATCTGTCACTTCTAAACATAAAGATAGGTGCAGTGGAATAGCCAGTTGTACAAGAATTTAATAATAGCAGGAGGCAAATTGAAGGGCTTCTCACAGCTTCTTTGATATTGGTAGAACAATAAAATACCATTAATAGCTATTGCTAAAATTCTAATTTAATTTAATTTTCAGATTTATTTCTTTTATGTTATCCACTTGAACATCCATTCAAAGCTATGCTCATATAACGAGGTCCTATCACGATTTCTGGTTACTAAATAATCTTTTATAAACGCGAGGAAAACCTGATATAAATTATACTGAGTTTTCTATTATAATAGATTAAAGATCATAGTATTTAAGGAACTGTAGTGATGATTTCATCCAAGTCCTTTCATTTTATGAATAAGTAAGCTCAAATCTAGAGCGGTTATCCAATTGGTTAGTGGCAGAACAATGCCCCACATCTTTTGATCTCTAGTTCACTGTCCTATTTGTGGAAAGACTTGTATTCATTTTGTTTTGCTTTGCTTTCTTTGTTTAAAATGATGGTTTTGATTTTGTCAGAGTACATCTTTGGGGAAAATGATCTTTCAATGGACTTAATCACTACTTATTATTCTTTTTTGTAACTTCTACTGTCTTACTACCCAAAAAATATTACCGCTTTATATACGTCTTAGATTAATCCTTCTGTTGTCGTTATTTTTGGACTTGGGCATTTTCTCAGCTGCTTTTCTTTGACAAATTCAACTATTTCCATTTCTTTATAGAGGTAGGAACTTTGAATGAAGAGATTTTTGTAGAAAAGGAGATAAAATAGAAAGTGAATCTGTACATAGAAACCATTCTTGATTCTGAACTTCAAGTCAGGTATTTTTGCACCAATAGAGCTCAGTTTTTACTAACAGTGAAAATTTTTATTCTTTAAAAGTCATTAAAAAAAAGACCTTATAACATTGGTTTGGGAGATACCTTGAATTTTAGTAAATCAAATTAAACTGGTCATTGAATTGTATTTTTAGGGACAGATGTGCCCAACAACAAGCCATGCTCTGTACGGCTTATTCTTTACCCTTTGATTTTAGGTTGGTAAACTCAAGGTTACCAGGAAGTACCTTGAAGGGTGAAGGAAATAACCTAAGGGGAATTTATATGAGGGAGACAACCGCTAGTTTGACCTAGTGGTAACTGTGGGGTGGGGGTTACTGTGACTGCATTTTGAGTCTTTATTAGACTGCTGGGTATGGTTATAAAAGTTGTACACTTTATAGCCATATGGAACAGTCTACTCCTTTCAGTGTCTCCCTGGTCCTTGCCACTGTGGCATCCAGAGGTCTGGTTCTTTATTCCCATGGACAATGTAGGTTTTAGTACTTACTTGTAATAAAAGTTCACTTTTCTCCTGACTTTTTCATGCAGTAAAGGAAAAATTGGAATCTAAACCGAGACAACCTACTATTGACTTGAGTCAAATGGCAGTGCCTATTCAGATGACCCAGGAAAAGAGACATTCTCCTGAGAGTCCATCGATTGCTGTAGTAGAATCAGAACTAGTTGCTGAATACATCACTACTGGTAGGTATCCTCTTAAAATGTAATATTAAGATAAGGAAGCTACCTTTCTGGATTTCATGGAATGGTCATTTGGGGAAGAATGTATTCTTTGTATTTCTAGCTCTTTTTCCTTTGTTTTCAGAGCAAATTTATATCTTCCTTAAATTTTACCTTGTCTTTATGACTAGAAAAAAATAAATCAGTAGGATGTTACAAAAATTGCAGGTGATGTAAAACTGCAAGTTGGCCATAAATAGTATCTGTGAAAGTAGAGCAGCAGTAGTAGAGAGAAGATGAAATATCTCTTATCTGAGAATAAATATTTTTATACATCTGGATGTTTTAGTTTTGGGAGAGGTGAGTCAAGAGAGAAAGAAAAAAAATGAAGAAAATCTTAAATCCCTGTACTTAGGAGTTCTTGCAGAAGGCTGATTAAATACTTACTTAAAATGTGGTGTGGCAGCAAAACAGTAATGAAATTTTTGGATGATATAAACGGGAAACTTACATAGGAAGGATAGTGTAGTCTTTCTCTCATATTTTAGCAAGGCCATACCTGAAACACTGCTTCTGTTTTGGACATTTCTTTATCTTAAGATTTGAAATAGTTTAGAAAATGGTAATGTGAGTAATGAAGAGGTTAGGAGAGATAACTTTTGAAGCAATATGTAGAGAACTCCTGTCTTAAGTTTTCTTAAGAAGTAGTTAAAGGAAAACATAAAGTGATAAATATTTGAAGGATATAAATACTATAGAGGAAAAGGAATTCTTTGGCATCATTTTAGGATATAGTGATAGAACTAATGGCCAAAGAGGAAAATCTAGTTAAAATTATGGAATGTCATCTAGAATTTTTCTTTAGGGATACTTAGAAAGCTAATTAAAGCAAAGGCCATTATGTTGGGGAGGACTGAATATTATGGGATAGACTAGATTATCAAATGGTAAATAGATGAATAGACCTATGATTTTTTTCCTTACTTATCCTTTTCAGAACGCACTGATGAGGGGACAGAGGTTGCTTTTCCCCTTCTAGGTAAGTGGTGTGCATCCATTTGTAGTATAATTGAAGGTAAAAAGATGGTTATTTTGGGGGGAACCAGTTAAATGGATGCGCTCTACTCTGATCTGGTAGAGGAAAGGTAAGCTCCACTTAATGAAAGGGAGAAAAATTTTCTTTTTGCAGAGTAGTGGGATGCTTTTGCAGAATTAGCAATTTGACCTTGGGGAAAAAAAAGATGTCTAAAGAAATAAATGGCTTTTGATGGTATTTATAGAGCCTGGTTAAGGTCACGTCATCTGCTTTCTGAACGTTCACTTTGTGACCTTCTTTCACTGTCCTTACCATCATACGTGCAGCCACACTGAGCTTAAAGCCAGTTGCTCTGGCCTTTTGTATCATTTCATGGTGGATATTTCCTCAGAATTTAATAAAGTTTAGTTTCTTAGGGAGACTTTTTGTGAAGAAATTTATAGTACGTTGAGGGAGAATTATTTTTATATAATGTTAGTTGGTGTATTGAATCCATTTTTTTCTGTGTTTAAAAAGTAATAATTATGAAGGTTTGTATGAGTGGCAAAAATGTTCTATGTAATCTGATCATTTCATCAGAAACATTGTTTATGAAATGTCACATTTTCAATGATGCTTCCATTAAAAAGCTATTGATATGTTTTGCTTAATATTATCATAATTTGTTTTCCTCCTATTTGGTCATATTGTAAATTATTTCAGTAGTTTTGACATCAACCTTACTTTTTTTCAATTCACGTGCACAGATATAGAATATTTTATTATTAATAATTTTAAGCTGGGCATGGTGGCACACACCTGTAATCCCAGCACTCTGGAAGCTGAGACAGGAGGATTACCATGAGTTTGAGGCCAGCCTGATTGATATAGTGAGCTTAAGACCAGTCTGGACTACACAGGAGACCCTGTCTCAAAAGAACTAATGAAAAAAATAATTTTAAATAGTAAGCATACTGTGAAGTACAGTAAGGGACTGAAGGACGTTTATAAAAGTATCATGATGCTGCCTGTAATCTTGTATCACATATCATATTTGTAGCAACAAGAGAAACATTGTATTTGTGAATATAGATAAAAAGTGTCATAAGGTTTATTTATATTTCACTGGATAATTTTAAAGATCTGTCCTGATAATACATAAAATAGCACTTTCATATTGATTTCTATAATATTTTGGACACCTCATTTTTTTCTAATTGTGGAACTCATACTACTTGAAATTTTAGATCAGAGTGTTTGAATATTAGAACTATAGATTATTGAGAGTTTTATAACTTCAAAATCCTTAGCTTATATACAGATTTATTTTATGTGTTACTGACTCAAAGGGTTCATTTGCCAGTAACTGTAAGTATTTTTAAAGTTCTGTAGATTTGGAAGTGGCAAATGTTTATATGATTTAAAAGTTGAGGCCGGGTATGGTGGCGCACACCTGTAATCCCAGCACTCGATAGGCTGAGGCAGGAGGATCACTGTGAGTTCAAGACCAGCCTGGGCTACACAGTGAGCTCAAGGCCAGCCTGAACTGCATATAGAGACCCTGTCTCAAAAAGATAAAAGAAAAAAGTTGAAATTGAAGCTGGTAAAAATAATAGATTTCTGCCTATATAGATGTACAGTTTTGGTTATTCCATGGGATCTCTGTAGCAAGTGAATAAGCAATGAAGTGGTTTCTTACACTGTGTTCTTGTTCATTGTTCAGATGAGCTAAATCTAACATAAAAGATTTTTCTGTTCTTTTATATTTTTTCAGAATTTTACAATTTAAGGACCAGTGTTTTAATCTATTACTTCATTTGGTCCTCTCTTAAATAGAAATGGCAAGATTTTATTATCATATTTTTAAAAACAAACAAAACAAAAACTCTTAAGTTTTTTAGAGATTAAGAGAGTGTGACTTCTTTGCATTGAGGTAGGTGTTTGATAGTAGAGCAAGACAGAATCTAAGTGTACCTCTTAGTCTAGTTCTCTTTTTGCAGTATCATCCTGACCACTTGCATTTTTAGGAATTGTAGGCTATGATGCAGTGTCACTTCATGTAAAAGAGCGAATGTTTATATTGCATTTGGGACAGGGATAAATAACTGATTAAAGAACTTGCATTGCTTTACTGTCCTTAAAGGTATGTCTGGCATTAAAAAACTCATTATTGCTTTGTTACCTTAATGAGATAAAAGTCTTTGGAGAAAGAGATAAGTCACAGGAGGATGGTAACTTTAAAGGGTTTGTTAGTCCTTGATAATAATAGTTCTCATAAGGCTTCTGTATACATTTATCCTTTAATCATTTTGGCTCTATTATCTCAGATTTACAGATGAGAAAACAGTCTCAGAGAAGATAGAGCTTTGTAGAGTCACAGCAGCACGTAGATGAGCAGGTTCTTGTCTTCTGCCTCTAAGTTCACAGTACCATTTTCTGTCTGATGCAAGCTCATAGACATTTGTTTAAAATGACTACTGGTTACAGATGCTGTGGCGATTTCTGGAGAAATATCATCATCACCTCCTCTATTTTCAGTCAGCCATCGCTCCCAGCCCCAACAACCTTCTCAGCCCCAGCGGACCTTGCTCCAACATGTGGCTCAGTCACAGACCGCAACACAAACTTCAGTGGTGGTGAAGTCCATCCCAGCGTCCTCCCCTGGAGCAATCACCCATATCATGCAGCAGGTTGTATCTCTTCATTGTTGCCCTGTCTTTTCTGCCTCATTCCTGAAATAAGGTTCAGTTTCATCTCATGTTTTAAAAGGAGAACTAACTGAATTATAGTGTTAAGAGAAAATGAGCTTAGGATTTTAATATCAGAAAATAATTAGGAATTGAAATCTTAAATCTTCTGTGAATGCTTAGCATTTCAAAAGCATAGAGAGGTATAGGTGAATCTAATGACATCAGAATTGGTGATTTCTGGGTATCTTACTGTTATGGAAGAATTTATCACTAAAGTAAAGATTCTCAAATGAAAAAGCATTTGGCTTGTTTAACTGTTTGCTGTTGGGTTTTTTGGTGTTTTTTTCGGTTCTGTTTTATACTTTTATAATGATTCCTCGTGGGAAAATTATGAATAAGTTGGAAAATAAATATTAGAGCTTTTTTTTTGAGACAGAATCTAACTGTGCAGTTCATGCTAGCTTCAAATTCACAGAGATCCTCCTGCCTCAGTCTCCTGGGTGCTGGGATTATAGGCATGGGCCATTATGCCTGGCCTTAATTTTAGACTTTTTAGACTATATACAACAGTACAACCAATTAAGGAAGAAACAGTGGGAAGTAGAATAAAGTAATGTAAAACAAAAACGTCTGGAATTAAGGGTAATGGGGAAAGTTGATAAGTTGATTTTTTTGTCAGACACTGTGCTTTGAGTTTTAAATATACTAATTCGTTTGATTCTCATTATGATCTTGCAAGGTGAATGTATTATCCTCTTTTACAAGTGAGGAAATTCATGCTTACAGAATTCTTTTAAGTAACCCCAGATGGCAGAGCCAGGATTTAAACCCAAAGTGAACTGCCTCCATTATAAGTTATGCTATAGGTGTCAGATTTAAGCATGACTTTTCTTTAATAGTCTCATAAATCACCATCACTTAGCTGGTAACCGTTGAACCTAATTATAGGCAAATTACCTGAAAAGCAGTAAGAGGTGTCAAATTGAAAATCTATGTATGTTAAGTCATTAGGATACAAGAAGAGTTTTTGAATCTCAGTTTTAAAATTTAGAGCAGCTGTATAGTATATGATAAGGCAGCAGGAAGGATAGGGATACAGTGGATCTGTGGTATCCCAGAGGAGGCCAGCTGATCAGAAATTTTGCACTGAGGATGGTGCCTTTTTCCATTGCAGTTATAATTCACACCAGGCAATCTCCCTTTCCACTGACAGGAATGACCTGTCCCATTCCTGGGCTCCCTCCCTCTTGGGAGCCAGGTCCCTAGGAAGCTGTTGCTAGTAGGCCTGGAATCTGAGTACCTGTAGACCTTGCTGAAGCCTGATGAGCCATCTCCAGTCTCCCAGGGAGGCCCCCTATGGGGGCTGGGATGGCCATATATCTCGGACAATATCCCTGACCTTCCGGACGGCGCTGGATGTGCACTCAGCCAAAGTGGGCTTCTCAGAACCTTGGCTTTTCTCTAGATACCTTACTCCTTGGTTATTACATTCTTTCTTTAAACAGAGGAATGTCTCTCGTGGATAGGCTGCATAGTTGTTTGCTGAGCCAGGAAGCCTGTCTCTTCTTTTTGGGATTGTAGGTTCACCTTACTTCTCTAATCTGTGATCTGTAAAAGTCCTCTAGGACTTTTTTGGTAGTAGGGAGTAGAGTATATCTTGAAGTACTTCATGTCTAAATTACCAGAGTTTTTATCTAAAGCCCCTTAGGTTTCTTGGTCTTCTTAGGCTCTTGAAAAAATTTTGAATGAATTTCATAAACAAGTCTTTCTCAGTTCAAGGAAAATGTAGCAATGTAGGTGTTTTTCTTATTTCATTCTTATTTTGTGCCTTTCTTACTTAGGCATTAAGCAGTCACACTGCTTTTACCAAACACAGCGAGGAACTTGGAACTGAAGAGGGCGAGGTTGAAGAGATGGACACTTTAGACCCTCAGACAGGTCTGTTTTACCGATCTGCCCTGACTCAGTCACAGTCAGCTAAACAGCAAAAACTTAGCCAGCCCCAGCTGGAACAGACTCAGCTGCAAGTGAAAACTCTGCAGTGCTTCCAGACTAAACAGAAGCAGACCATCCACCTGCAGGCAGACCAGCTCCAGCACAAACTCCCGCAAATGCCCCAGCTTTCCATCAGGCATCAAAAACTCACCCCTCTCCAGCAAGAACAAGCACAGCTTAAGCCAGATGTACAGCACACACAGCATCCCATGGTGGCCAAAGACAGGCAGCTTCCTACCTTAATGGCACAGCCCCCGCAAACTGTAGTACAGGTGCTTGCAGTGAAAACTACGCAGCAGCTCCCCAAGCTGCAGCAGGCTCCGAACCAACCAAAAATCTACGTGCAACCCCAGCCCCCCCAGGGCCAAATGTCGCTCCCTGCCTCATCAGAGAAACAGCCGGCAAGCCAGGTAACGGAATATTGATAGCATGCAAAGTTAAACTTCTCTGTTCACGGAAAAAACATGAAAACATCATTGATATCATGATAGCAGTGCTTTCTCCTGGCAAGAGGAAATCCAAAAGCCTCATTACACTGGTATTATTTTGTCCCATCAGAAGGTTGACATTAGGGAAGAAAAAAAGAACTTGCTTTTCTAGGCGTTTTTTAATGAAATCATTTCAGCATTGACCAACAGTGCATAGAAGCGATATTCCAAAGTTTTTATTTTTTAGGTATAAAATATCTTCATGCCTGTAAACTCTTATTTCTGTGGCAATAATGCTAAGTAAGTTACAGTCTTTTAAAGAACTGCATTGAACATCTTTGTAGTTTATCATCGCCATCTAGTTAATAAATATAACTTCTAGATTTATCTTTAAATTGCAGAAGAATTACCATGGATAATCAAAAGAAATATTTTATTAGCAAAAATCAGTGGCTCTGGAGCAATATATATGTGTATATGTGTGTATGATAAATGCATATATATATATGATATGTTTGTGAAAATGTTTGAAGCAAAAGATTGAAAAAAAAAATCCTACTGCTTTTTATTTTAAAAAGCCAACAGTTATATGAAATAATTTGAGCCAGGTTGAAGGTATACTGTTTAGGGATATAAATCTCTAAAGAAAAGTAGGCTGCTGTGACTTTTTTTCCTTTATTGCTATAAACCTTGGCTGGCTGAACAAAAGTTCTTTTAACCCCTCCTCTTTCCCTAGGTTCCTTAGAAGTAACCAGATCCTTCCCATCCAGCCCTCTTATTAAAACATCGAGCTTCAAATTGTCTTCCTAGTATACCGCACAAATGTTTCTTTTGCCATATTGTTTGGGGTGTTTAATTAGTTTTTCTCAAAGAAATGTAGCTGTAACACACGCAACCCCAATTTATTTTCAGGTGGAGCAGCCAATTATAACCCAAGGATCCTCTGTTACAAAGATAACTTTTGAGGGGCGCCAGCCTCCCACAGTTACAAAGATAACTGGTGGCAGTTCTGTGCCTAAGCTGACATCACCAGTTACAAGCATATCTCCCATTCAGGCCTCTGAGAAGACAGCAGTTTCAGACATTTTGAAAATGTCTTTGATGGAAGCTCAGATTGATACAAATGTAGAGCATATGGTAGTGGATCCCCCAAAGAAGGCTCTTGCCACTAGTATGCTCACTGGTGACACAGGATCATTACCCTCTACCCACATGGTGGTGGCAGGGGTTGCGAATTCCACTCCTCAGCAACAGAAATGTAGAGAGTCCTGTTCAAATCCATCTGCTGTTGGCCCTCCCCTAACGACCAGGAAAATCGATGTACCAGGAGTGCCTACAACAGGCCAGTTCATGCGTATTCAGAATGTAGGCCAAAAGAAAGCTGAAGAGAACCCAGCAGAAATTATCATCCAGGTAAGAAATGGAAAAAAAATGAGAAATTTTGGGCAGATGGGAGGTTGTGGGCTGGTACATTTTGGAACATCACAGGAAAAGTCAAGCCCAGATGGCAAGAAGAAATAGATTGTCTTTGAGATAGTGCTTGACAAATTTGTTTTAATAACTATTGCAAATATACAAATTTATGTTTGTTTTTTGGAAGAGAATCATCAAAAATTAGTGGATATTGTCAACAGAATACTGTAGAGGCAGAGAAAGGCCCCAAGCCCATGTGTCAGCTTGATTTTATGAGCTACAAGCCATATATCTCTCTTTGCTAATTCAGCAAGTAAAACCAAAATAATCAGCAATTTCCTGGGTTTGCTTTTGAGGATCCTCAATCTTTACTAAAAAAATCCTGGAATATAGCTAAATGATAATTCTACTCAAGTTAACTCAGGAACTGCTTTTCAAGAATAGTCCTAGTTCTTGATACAAATTTATGGTTCTAGAGACAATTAAACCTCAATTAATTGAAATGTCTCAAGAGACATGTTCTATAGGAATGTTTCTAAAATACTTTTCTTTCTAATTTAGAATTAATTATAAACTTTGCTTTTTAATCATTGTTATTTTAATAATTTTGTTGTGGTTATTGCCTTGTATTGGTAAGTACTTACCTGCATTGGCCAGTTAACATATAGAATGATTTATTGATAGTATATGTCCTGTACTTCACATTCTCTTCATTCTAAAGCCATCTGTCATCTTTCATAATAGATTAAGATGAAAGAATTACTGAATCCAGACTATCCCTAAAGAGTTGTGTTTTTTTCCCTTCTCTCTTTGCAAGGTATTAGGTTTATCTTAACATTTGTCATTTTTTCCTAACCTGTTACGTAGCTTGGGACGATATTAGAACAATACATTTTAGGTAATTGGGAATTTGGATTTATTAACATGTGAATTGTTTAGAACTTAGCATAAATTCAGTGCCATATGACTTGGTAGTTCTTGTAGTAATCTTCCCATTTACCATGACACCATGCTATGAGGGAATTGATCAATGTTAAACTAATTAAGATATATAATTAAGTGTACAAACTTAATAAGTAAATAAAACAAGTAGAAATAGCCACTTAATTAGTCAAAATAATGTGTTTTCCTTTATAAAAACAGATCTAGCAAATTCTTAATGAAAAGTTTTGTGATTTTTAAAAATTTTCCCCTGAAGAGATACAGTATATAATGGAAAAGGGGTAGTTTCCTGGCTTCCCTTTTTACTACTTTGGGCAGTGCTGTTGTCAGTCTGCCTTAGTTTCCTCATCTGTAATGGGGATAAGTAATGCACACTTTATAGGATCACACAAAATTAAACACCTAGCGCAGGATAGTATTTAGCTCATAGTGATTGTCCAATAGATGGTGAGTATTACTAATTTTACTAAAAATTGCTGTGACTACTAGGAGTTTAGATTGGTATACTTGCTACATTGAAAATACTAGCTTATGTGGAAATTAATTTTCTGCATTGTACTAATAAGAATGAAAAATAATATCCTTCATGATAACTTATGAGTAGGTTTTCCACAGAATTCTCATGTTTTAACATGTCCCTGGGCCAGATATGCAGTGTCAGTGGGACAAGCAGCAGCAAAGTGATTAAGAACCAAGCTTTTGGAGCCAGAGTTGTGTACATTTGATTCTCACCTATACTTATACATACTCACTGTGGCTTTGGGCAACAGAGTTAAACTTTGTACCTCAGTTTCTTTACTTATGAAATGGAGACAATTAGATCTACCTCACTGCGTTGTTTTGAAAATTAAATTAGATAATTTATATAAAGTGCTTGGTCAAGTACTTGATGTAGAGCAATACTCAATAAAGGTACCTCCTGTTATTTATTTTCATCATTAATACATTGTTAAAGCATTAATACATTTTCAGATCTGATTAGTTACACTTACATTTTCCTGAAGTATTGAGTTTATTGATTCAGTTATATGGTAATACCTATTCAGTATGGAAGTCTGTGAAGTGCTTTGATTACTTGAAGAACGTTCTATAAAAAAATCAGTGTCTTTGATTTTAAAAATGAAGGAAAAAAATGGAAATACTTTGAATGATAAGCATTGCCCTTTGTAGACAATCTGATTTCATTCAGTGGTTCATTTCTTCATTCATTCCACATGCATTATTTAACCGCTGTGTTCCAGGCTCTGTGCTAAATGTGAGAATAAAAGAGTAAATAAGACACATGTCTTTTATCCTGAAGGAATCCAATCAGTGGAATTTGTAGCCTTTAAAAAACTGCAAGGATCTTTAGAGCATATGTATTCCAACTATCATATTTTATATAAGATTATTAAGGCTCAAGAAAGTGGAGTGCTCTGAGTCACCCAGCAAGTCAGAGCCAGAGCTGAACTAAAATCCATGTCTTCTGACCCTTTTAATACTTCTTCATAATGATCAACTCTGTGGGGCAGGAGAAACAAACAAAACTCCACCCCTGGAACAAATGTCTGGGCATCTTGTATTGTTTACTTGATGGTGTTAAAATTAAATTTACGTCTCCCTTTAAAAGGTTGTTTTGGTTCATTGTATTTGCAGAGTGTTCTGCACAGTTTTGTTTTGGGGTTTTTAACATTCACAATGTATTATTCATTTGTCAAATGTTTATTGAGCATCAAAGCTCTGGGCATCTGGCAGTGAATAAAAGAATCAAGATCTATACTCTGTTCATGTTGTCACAGAACTTACACTCCAGGAGTGAGGGACAATTTAACAAACAGCTGGTAGATGCAATGAATAAAATGTAACAGACTATAATAGAGTGGGGGATGGACCAACCCCTTACTACTAGTTTGGTGGTCATTGAAGGAAAGCATCTCTAACCCTTTGACTCTAAGCATTGGAAATCAGATGCAGATGATAGAATAGAGCCAACCTTGCAAAGTTTTAGAGGAAAAGGGTTTCCGAAGGAGAGGAAGAAATAGTGCAAAAGCTGTAACGTTAAGTGAGTCTAGCATGATGCTGAAGCCCTGGTAAGGAGTTTGATTGTATAATAAGTACAAAAGAAAGTAATTGTACAGTTTTTAACAGGATATGACATGAACTCTGATGCTGCTTTTTAAAATATATCTAATAAAGATGAGGAAAAAGAACGTGACAAGGCAGTATACCTATAATATTTACTTACCCAAAGGCCCACAGCTGACGTTTGTCTGCTGGTATTTTTATGGTTTACAGGACAAGTTTTGGCCTCTCTTGTACTTGAATGTTTTCAGTAATGTCATTTTCAACACAGTTCATTATCCTGTGACTTAAACAAATGACTGTCCTTTTGAACCACTAAAGAGGCTTAAAATATGCAGTATTTTGATATCAGCAAATTAATCATACACCTGCAGATAGTAAAGAGCAAAATTTGACCTACTTCTCCTAATGATCAAATGGAAGTATTCCTTAAACTCTGTCTCCTGAATTTGGCAATAGACTTTAGCCTCTTTTTTAGAGGTGTCCTTAAGGAGTAGAAAGATCACTTTGAGTTATATAAGACTTGGATTTGAATTCTGGCATTAACCCTGATAGCTGTGTGACCTTGATGAAGCCTCTTACCTTCTTAGTTTCCTCATTTGTAAAATGGGAATAACATTTTTGTTATAGGGGGGATGTAGTAGAATATCATATGTGAAAGCATCTAGCACAGTGCCTGGCATGTAGTAGATTTCTAATACCAGTTTTCTTTTTTCTTCCCTAAGTGGTGTTGGGAAAATCCTAGAGTTATCTTTTCTTACCGTAAAGATTGTCTCCTGCATCTTCTCTTTCAGGCCATTCCCCAGTATGCTATTCCTTGTCACTCCAGCTCCAATGTGGTTGTGGAGCCCAGTGGGCTTCTTGAGTTAAACAACTTCACCAGTCAACAGCTGGATGATGATGAGACAGCAATGGAGCAGGACATAGACAGTAGCACGGAGGATGGAACTGAGCCCAGCCCCTCTCAGAGTTCTGCCGAGCGGTCTTAGTGTTTTGGATACAGGAGTGCACTTTAAAACCTGCTTGGTTACCAAGTGTCCAGGGAAACTCTTGAATTCTAATGTCAAAAAAAGAAAAAAGAAAAAAAAAAAAAAAAAAGCACTTTGCCCGTACTTAAGCTATGGACCCTGAAACAGCAATATTTCAGTAAGATATTGCTGCAGGAGTAGCATTTTAACAAACTAAAACTCACAGGGGAATGTACTTTTTTAAAAAAAATTTTAAAAAGGGGGAAAAAAAAAAAGAAGATGCACATCTACAGAGATTCAAGATCTGATACTCTTCCTCTGTTGGACCATGGCCAGTGGAAAAGTTTTATTTTGCAGTGGAAAGAGACTTTTCCTGTGAATGTTTCCCAACTGGTTTCCATTGAGCAAATTGCCATCACAAAGTACCATCAAAAAAGGAGAATGTGAATAGTTTGTATTTTGAAATGATGTGTCATGAACAGTTTTTAAAAATCTTGTGTTTTTGCAAATCCCTGGAAGTGTTGAACTGGTTAACATTTTATGTTTGCTCAGTTGATAATTAGTTTATAAATATCTAGGAAAATACTGGCATTAAAGAAACCTTTTTGGATGGCAGAAAACAGATCCATAACCAGTAGGAATTACTTTTTGGGTGGCTTGTACATTCTCATTGGTTGTATGCTAATTTATTGTGTTTTCTCTTTGTGCTCTAGGCGGCACACTTACCTTCTATTTATTTAAGTGTAAACATTTCAAAGCAGGCCATTGTCCTTCTGACACATTTCTTATAAACTAGGATTGTATCCCCTTCCACCTCCCATCCTTCCTCCAGTCCCCTTCAAGAAAACTTATTAGAAAATGTATTATTATAGAGGAAAAAATTTTTTTTCTGGCCCAAAGGAAATGTTCATTTACATTAAGGAAAACAAATTATTCATTCACGTGATGATGTTTTAATGTTGAAATTGCACATTCATGTGGGACTGAGACTTTAAAATAATTTTTACATACTTTTGTTTAAACCCCTTTGAAATGTATAAAAAAGTTGATTTTCAGTTCTAAATGTAATGTTTTTACCCTTTTTTAGGACACAGTTTGTTTAATCAGTATGTTTTGGTCTTGTGATTACTGTCTGTCACAAGTGAGGGGTAATGAGGTGGGAGGGTAAGAGTTTTGAAGTTGTGGCAAAGGAAACTATACTTTTCATTTTTAAAACTGTAAATAGAAAAGTTTGTAACGGTTTTATATAGATTTCACTATAAATAAGCATTTTAAGACTGACAAATGTTGAATTGTACATACATATATCAGCATAACTGCCCAATTATTTGGTGCTGAAGTACTGTAAGTAGAATTCATCAAGTCTCCAATTTTTGCATCTATCTGGGAAAAAAAAAGCTGTGATACTATGGTTAATAAATTCCCACTAAAGTAATACTGAAGATTTCAACACAAGCATTCATAAGATGCACTGGTCTCTGGTAGTTGTAACTTTCTATACTGGGTGATAGTGATTTACCCATAGATGGAGCTGTTGGGTATCATTTCATTGTACAAATTCATGTTTTAAAAACTTCTGACTTTATTTCCAGTTAAGTACTTTTTTAACTTCTCGTAGGTCATAGAATCCTATGAACATTCACCAAAAAGGTACACATGCCAATGTACATGTTACATTTCACATACAATATACAGTTTTAGGGATCTATGGGCCACTAAGGCTATCCATGTATTCCAGGTTAAGCTCGCTGTTATGATCAATCCATTACTTACAGTTGGAAGTTTTTATAAAATAAAGTATCTTTTAAATATTCATGGATCAGGTAACAAGAACAAACTTAAATAAAGTTATGTTCTGCATATTCTAACAGCATAGCATACTTGTGTCCCTTTTAAGAATTAGGACATATCTCAGTATGTTCAACAACTGGAATGGCAAGTGAAACTGCATACATATATAAATAAGAGTTTTAAAAATACTTTAAAAGTGCTAATTTCAAATACTGCATGAATTCATCAACAAATATTAATTAGGCCCCTTTTTAGTCCCAGACACTGTTCTAAGCACAGAGGATACCATAGTGAACAAACACCAAATCCTACCTTTATGGTGTTTATAAACAGGAGGGATCAAGGGAAAAGGAAACAAAAATGATTGTTAGGCTTCTCAGCTCAATGAGTTAATGGTAAGGCCATCTGTATATCTTCAGACATCTATTTACTAAAAGTGTTAGCGTTGTATCTATTGGCATTTTCATGTTAAAGTCCATAAAATTAATTTTAAGTTATCTCTGTGATGGTTAAGTCATCTCTGTGAATTATATTCAGACTGTAGTGCAGTTTTGTAAAATTGTTAGAATTTTGTTAATCCATGGTAAGAATTCGTTTGGTTTAAAGTAAACTTTAGTAAGTACCTAGTATTTCAGATTACAAATGGTGAACTGAGGACTCTTTTTTTCTTTTTAACATACCAGCTTTGTTAAGATATCCACATGCTATGTCTCTCCTTGTTTAAAGTTTACAGTTCAGTGGCTGTTAGTATTCAAAGCTGGGCAACCCACTGCTGTAATCAGTTTTAGAACATTTTCATCGACCTCTAAAGCCCTATATCCTTGAACATCTCATCACCACTGCCACTGTAGTCCTTGGTGACCACTATTCTATTTTCTGTCTCTGGATTTGCCTGTTCTTTACATTTCATGCAAAATAGAATCATATGGTCTATAGTGACTAACTTCTTTCACTTAGCATAATTTCAAGACTCATCCGTATTATAGCAAGTATCAGTGTTTTATTCATTTTTATGGCTATTCCATCACCCGGATATGTCACATTTTTTAAAAAATCCATCAGTTGATGGACACTTGCATTGTTTCTACTTTTTGGCTATTTCAAGTAATGTTACTACAAACACTTGTACAAATTTTACTTATGTTTTTAATTCTCATGAGTGAATACCTAAGAATGGAATTGCTAGGTCACACAGATCCCTGTTTAACCTTTTAAGGAACTACCAGAGTGTTTTCTTCAGAGATGGAATGTCTTATATTCCCACCAACAATATATGAAGGCTCCAGTTTCTCCACATCCTACCTAACACTTGCTGTTGTTTTTCAAAAGTAATCATATTATTATGTAAAGTGGTGCCTCATTGTGATTCTGTTTTACATTTCCCTGATGGCTACTGATGAACATCTTTTCATGTGCATCTTGTCCAGTTGTATGTCTTTGGAGAAACATTTTAAGCCCTTAACTCAGTTTTGAGTTGAATTATTTTCTTTTTTCTTACCTAAATTGAAAGTGTTTGAAGCATAAAAAATATGCTGCTCTTAGCAAAGTAACCTGTACTCCAGTAATGAATTCTTCACTCTTAAAATCTTAGATTAGGTTCTAGTTGTTCCAGTCTAATGTAACAAGTTCACAATCTTAGTTTGTATAGTTTGAGGGGAAATCTTCCTTTTTAAATATAGTTCTTTGTAAGGTTTTCATAATAGCCTGAAGTATGAAATAGTATAAAGCAAGTAGTGTTTAGGTGGTCTGGATTTGAATCCCAGGTTTCTGCAGCTTTTGCTTACAAGTCACATTCCTGCTGCAAGTTCATTTCTCTATAACACAGGGTAATTCAGATCCATAGGCAGATTATGAAGGTGAAGTGAATAGTGTGTGTAAAACTTCCAGGCACAGAGTTAGGTGCTCAGTGTCAATTCAGTGGTTAGGTTCAATGTTGATCTTATGGGGAAATTTGATTTTGTTCTTGTCCAGTTCGGTTTTCAACCAGAATTGTGGAAAGAATTAAGTTCATGAACCAAGGTACCACTATTATTTTTAGTCCAATAGTTATACTACTTGCACTTTATAAAGAGAAAATGAGGGCTCAGAGAAGTTGAAGGATATACCAGACCTCAAATTAAAAAGGCGTGTTTGAGTGCTTCACACAGAAGTGCTCAATTCAGGTTTTTTTGTTTGTTTTTTTTTTAGTTCAATTATGTGTCACAAATCCCATAGAAGAGGAAGTAGAGTGAGACAGCACCATTATAAGCAAGACCTTTCCCAGAAAGAATACTGAAAAAACAATCTGCTGCTTCTGTTTGCAGGTTTGTAAGCCAACTTGTCGACCTATATATTGAAAAAGAATTGAAGCACAATAGGTTCAGGTTTGTGAGAAGGCTCATTCCACCTTCTCTTTTTCTATGCTTACAAGTTTACTAACTTAAAATATGTACTTATTTTGCTTTACGTAAAAAAAATCTCAGGAAATCTTGAGTTTGAATTCTGACAAACTGAGTGACTTTACAAGTTCTTTTTAAAAAAAGCTTGAAACGGGATGGTTGTAGCACCATATTATCTAACTTCTTTTAAAAACACTGATAGATAAGCAGTCTTCCCCTGTCCAGATGGTCGTGTCCTGTATCCTGACTTACTACTTTTTTAATCTCTCCTGTTGGCAACCAGCAGTTAATGGACACTTCTGTGTGCAGACTTGAGGGATGGAGTTGCAGCCTGGATGGGTAGGTGCCGGGACTGATCTACTCTCAAGAGTTTTCAGCCTAGAAAAGGAGACATACTAATCAAAGAATTGTAATTTAAAGTGTTCAGTGAATAACTGATGGAGAAGTACTTAGTGCCGTGATAGAATATAAATGGAAAAGTTGGGGAGTATCCTTCAAGAAGGAACTTGTCAACTTTAATCTGAAGAAAGGAAGAATTGGAATGGATTCCTTGTGGGAGAGGAATTTTGAGTAGGTCATTGTGGCTGCAACATGAAGAGCAAGGCCACAATGAAGAAAAAAGTGGAGACCAAACTGAACTTGCAGATTATGATAAAGGTGTGTGTCTTTAAGAACTGGAAGTCATTGTAATATTTTAAGCCACTGGAGCTGGCAAAATGAACTAATAATACATTTGCACAATAGCGTCATGTTGGTTGATAACAGAAAAACAATTGGCAGTTTTTAAATGTCAGTCTCATTTCCTTATGTCATTTTTTTAAATCTCTGCAAAGGTTTCCTAATATAGTAGTATGAATTGGGCATTTAAGGCTCTTAGCCAAAGCCTACACCTACATTCCAGGTTCATATCCCATTTTACCACTTCTGCCTACTGTCCACCACCACACACATGCTTTATCTTAAACTCTGCACTTGAAAGTTTCACTTGTTCTTAAAGTTCAGCTTGAATTCCCCCTCCTTGAGCAAGAATGCCCAAACCTCTTCATTGAGAATTCATTCTTCCCTACTGCAGGGCTCCTCTAGCATTTTGGGAAGAATACACATTCACTTAGCACTTAGCATTAGTCACTTTCTGTGAATTATTTGCGATGCACAAGGATCCTTTGTATAGGAGCAGATTCACTTGTTATTTTGAAGTTAAAAATTCTTCATATAATAACCTGATAGAAATTCTAAGTGCACCATCACACAATGTGAGGGTTCCTTTGTAATTCCCCACAAGTGCCTCTTAGGGTAATTGAAATAAAACACTCTAGCATGTCATTCTTTAAAAAATCAATCCCAAACCAGGCATGCCTATAATTCCAACACTACGCACTGGGCCTCAATTCCCCAATTGGAAAAATACTCTTGGGACAAAACCATCAGACTGTGGGGTGGGTTACATGCCTACTTCTTAAGCTTTCTTGTTGCTTCTCTAACCTTAATGACACAGGACCAGTCCTGGGGTTCCTTGGACACTCCCTCTGTAATGTCCCCGAGTGTGTGTAGAACTGTGATGAAAAAGACAAGAGACCTCACTGATGCCTTAGGCTGATGCAGGAGGATCACAGGTTTGAGTCCAGCCCTGACAACTAGCAGCTTAGTGAGAACCTGTCTCAGAAATAAAAGCAAGAAAAGGTGGGAGTATATCTCTGAAAGCCCTGGGTTCAATCCCAAGTACCAGCACAAAAGAAAACTTTCAGCCTTAAGTGATAGGCGCTGAGGTTTCACAGTTCTTTTTGTCTTGTGTCAGAGTTCAATTGTTGCTTTTAGTGAGGCTATGAATAATTTGGGTAAGATTCACTCTCACATTCAAGTCAGTGGCATTCCTCTTTATTCCACAGGATCACTGATTTCATTGCATGGGGGTTATCACCAAGGTGTGCGCTCAGCTCACATCCTTTATTTGCACAGTCTTCCTGGGACTTGCATCTGTGCTGTAACTTCAACTTCACTTACAAGTGGATTAATTAAGTCTTCGAATATAGTATATCACACACTGTGTTTCAAGCACCATCATAGCCAGTAGGAATATAGGAATGAACAAAACTGAAAAGCACTGCCCTGTGTAGCTGCATTTTGAACAGGTAACAGATACATAAATTAAAAGTGCATAGTGTTTTAGAAAGAGAAAAAAGTAAAGAAGGTGACATTTCAAGGTGTGTTAGTGTGAGTTAAGGTAGGTAAGAAAGGCATCATTGGGAAAAATGACTTGAAAAAACGTGGAGAAGGTGAAAGAGCTAGCCAGGCAGGTATTTGTGTGACGAGTGTTAACAGATGGAACTACAAGTACAAAGGTCCTGAGATACGTGCCTGGAATGTTCAAAGAATAGTAAGAATGATGAGATAGGGTTAGAGTAACTAAAGAGAGAAGGAATATTAGAATATAGCAGGACTAGTTATCTAAATGTGTTCATAATGAGGATTTTTTATTGTCATATTTTTTGCATTAGTTGAGATGATCATATGGGTTTTCTCCCTTGTTTTATTAATGTGTATTATGTTGATTTTCTCATTGTCCTCTTTATTTTACTTTTTATTTTATTCTAAGCACTGTTTTTGCTATACCCCATATATTTTGGTATGTTTAGGAATTTTTCATTATTTCAAGGTATTTCCTAGTTTCCTTTGTGACTTATCCTTTGACCCACTGATTGTTAAGATTATGTTGTATAACTGGGTCCCTTGGTGCACACCTGTAATCCCAGCACTGAGGGAGGCTGAGGCAAAAGGATCATTAGTTTGAGTCCTGCCAGCACAGCTTTTCAAGACTTGCTTCAAAATATAAAGAGCTGGGGATGTAGCTCAGTGGAAGAACACCCTTGGGTTTGATTCCCAGTGTTGCAGAAAACAAAAGCAAAACAAGAGCACTGCTTAATTTCCATGTTTGAATTTTCTGGTTTTCCTTGTTATTGTCATCTGTCTTCATTCCACTGTGGCCAGAGAAGATACTTTGTATGATTTCAGTCTTTTCAAACTTACTGAGACTTGGGCTGGGGCTATAGCTCAGCAGCTGAAGTGCTTGCCTGGCAAGGCTGAGGTCATGAGTTCGATTCCTGGTACTAAAAAAAAAAAACACAAACTTACTGAGACTTGCTTTGTGGTCTAACATATGGCCCAGCTGAACACTGTTCCATGTATACTTCAAGAAAGTACACATTTTGTTATTGTAGGGTAAAGTGTTCTATGTATGTTTGTTAAATCTAGTT